TACTTGGTCATCGCCTTGGCCTCGGTGTCGTCGCTCTTCCTGTTCTCGGTGGTGCTGTTCGTGGCGGTGAGGCTGTGCGGGAGGCACAGGGCGGCCTCCGTGGGTCGCTGCTCGGTGCCTGAGGGCCACTTTCCTGGCTACCTAGTGGACGTCAGCGGTACTGGGACTTTGTCCCAGAGCTACCAGTATGAGGTGTGTCTGACAGGAGATACTGGGACAAATGAGTTTAAATTTCTAAAGCCCATTATCCCCAATTTTTATGTCCCTGACGCTGGCAGGAATACGGAGGAAAAGGAGAATGTTCGGAATAGCTTCGAATTCAACATTCAATAAAACAATGCATTTAAACTTCGGGTTTTGTACTATTCTTGGCAAACTAGGGCTACTTTTTGCCTAATCTCTTTTAGATTCTGGTTTGTACAGAAGTTGCATGCATGAGCATTGCTCGTGCTCTCCTGACATGTGCTGTGCTTTAAAAATCCTTATTAGTTGTTACAGTTACATTGAGATACAATCTGTATTTTCTGGTTTTTCATTTATTTGGTCAAAAAGATTATATTAATGGAGTTAAAGCTCCTTTGCTATAATAATGGTATTGTATACGTTTTGTAAGACATTATTCGCAATTATTTGGATTTGCAAATTAAAATATTAAGAGCAAATGTCACAGGATATGTAATTTACTATTAGACACCACCAAAAGATAGGTGAAAGAAAAATAAAGTGTTGAATGTGGGTGCAATGTTGTTGGATTTATTACCATATTTTCTCTAAAATTTTTTCATCGTAAAGTGTAAAAAGCTTCTATCCCTCCATTTTCAGTGCTGGAAAGCCTTATTTGTTCATTTTTCAAGGATCTACTTTATGGTAAAATTTAAGTGACCAGGTTGAAAATTATTGATTTCTGAAGTAATTTTTCTTCCAACTAGTTTTGTTGTTGATGATGATGCTGTTATAGAAGAGGAGTGCTGTAACATTCTGGGCCTTGATATTGCTATTTAGTTTTCTTTAAATGCACCATGGTTATGAGTTTAAATTTTGTAATGTTCCTTAGTATCAGTCAGAAGAGTAGTAGACAAAAACTTTAGAAATTGAAATGAAGATTGAAACTGTTAAAGAAAATGATTTAGGTTCACTTCCCTGCCCATTACTTAGTAAATGTAAAACATCACTAAGAATTTGTGGCCTCTCTCAAATGCTAACGAAGAAGGTATGGATCTGTATTTATGGTTTATAGATGCCTCATCATGTTACAAATGATAATATCTGAAATCCATAATCAGACAGATCTTTATAATTAGCATGTGGTGTGGATATAGGACTAGTTTGCATATATATATTCCTAATCGATCTCATAAAAATTAAATGCTATGGTGGACTACATGATCATAAAATGAAATTTCACTTTCCATTGCAAAATAGGATGAAAAAAATTCAATTTGCTTAGGAATTTCCCCCCCTACTTTATGCAATTTTTACTGGTTTCATTGTTTATTGCAGTAGGTATTTATTAGTTGTGAGGATTTCATTTAAATTGACATTTGAACGATAAAACCCTGAATAGAGTAATTGGGCCCTCTTTATCTTTCAGAGTCAAAAGAAATAAAAGTATACCCATGAAAGCCATGGTTAGGCCAAACAAAAAAAAACTGAAGAAAGAAAGAAGAATAGAATTTTTAAAAAGTGAAATGGAAAAAGAAATAAAAGTAGTGTACATTGAGCCCCACCTTTATACAATTAAAAATGATATTTTTAAGTAGTAAAGAAACTATATTTCTAGCAATTAGCCTTAAAAAGGAGGCATAAAAACCTTTGAGAAAAAAATGACATCAATAAAATGACAGATAATTAAATGTTTGAATAAATAGAGAAAGGCACTATTTTTAGATAGAACTTAATGCAATAAAGATCTATTCTTCCTAAAATAATTTATAAATTGAGTGAATCTCAATGAAATCTGTGATAAGTAGTAAGTATCTACAAATGGTTTCTAATATAACATGGAAGATAAAGTTGCATGAAGAGCTAGGATAAGTTTTAGGGGGAAAAAAGGAAATGCCTAAGAATAAAAATGGCAAATGCTTTACATTACAGATATTAGTCCAAATTATAAATCTAAAGTAAGTAAATCTATTTGAATAGTTCAGAAATAGACTCATAGACTACCAGATAAAATCTAATCCATGGTCAGATTGGTTTTTTTTGTGACAAAAGAGTTTCACTTTGTCGCCCTTGGTAGAATACCCAGAGTGCGGTGGAGTCACGGCTCACAGCACTCTCCAACTCTTGGGCTCAGTGATTCTCTTGCCTCAGTTTTTCTGTTTCTAGTAGAGACAGGGTCTTGCTTTTTGCTCAGGCTGATCTCAACCTGTGAGCTCAAGCTATCCACTCCAAGAGTGCCAGGATTACATGTGTGAACCACTGCACCCAGCCTACATGGTCAGATTTTTTAACATAAAAGAACTTGGTCATGACAAAAGGGGTGCCAAAATAACTGGGCTGGATTGGAAAAAGAGATTATTTTGCAAATAGTATTAGGAAACTGGCTGATGTTACAAAGAAAAAAATATCTATTTCATGTAATTTAATACTAAACATATTTATCTAAGAAGTGAATCTGAAATATTCAAATTATTAAAAATGAAATAAATTAGGCAAAATTATCTTTATAATCCTAGCATTGGTTTGGATTTCTTTTTTTTTTTTTTACTGGGGCTGGGTTTGAACTCACCACCTCTAGCATGTGGGGCCGGCGCGCTACCCATTTGAGCCACGGGCACTGCCCCTGATTTGGATTTACTAATAAGGCTTTAAAATACAAATAATAAAAATACAAATTGATGAATATTACTACCTTAAAACTAAAAGATAGCACAGAGAAACTAGCAAACAACAGAGAGAAACTACTTGCAATATTTTAACTGAAAAGAACTAAATATAGATTATGCTAATAAATCTTACAAATCAACAAAACATCAAAAAGGCTAGAGAACCAATAGTTTTTTATAAAGGACAACAGAGATAGGAAATTTAAGAAAAAAGAGGGAAAACAAAAAGTCTGAAAAGAACTTGAAATGATGGTCAACCTCTTTAGTTGTGGAAACATTAAAATTAGGGAAAATGAAGGATTTTGATAATATGTGTATTAATGGAAAATCTTATGTACAGCCTATGTACAGAGGCTTTTAGCAGTATTTAGTGAAATTTAACACGTACGTATCCTATGATCCAGCAATTCTACTTTGAGGTATATAAGCCAGAAAACTTTTACACAGCTTTACAAAATGATGAGTATAAGAATGTTGTTTTTGGCCAGGTGTGGTAGCTCATGCCTGTAATCTCTGGGAGGCTGAGGTGAGTGGATTGCTTGAGCTCATGAAGTTCAAGACCAGCCTGAGTAAGAGTAAGACTCGGTCTCTAAAAACTAGCTGGGAGTTGTAGTGGGTGCCTGTAGTCTTAGCTACCAGGGAGGCTAAGGCAAGAGGATTGCTTGAGCCCAGGAGTTCAAGGTTGCTGTGAGCTATGATGCCTTAGTGCTCTACCCAGGGTGGGGGAGTGAGATTCTGTCTCAAAGAAGAAAAAAAAAATAAGCATGTTCTTCTTGGGAAACCAAAGGATAGAAATCTACCTACCTATCCATCAGTAAAGCAATTGATGAATAAAATGTGTAATATGTTGGTGAAAGATTATTATGCAGTGATCAGAAGAGTAAACTAAGTATGCAACCACATGGATAAATCCCAAGTGCTTTAAGAGAAAAAAAGAGACTGAGATTTATTGCATAGTGACAAATATATGTGTGTGTGTGTGCATATATACACACAGATATATAGTATATAATATCTTATATATGTAGAAATAAACAACTATATAAATATGTTTAATGGAGGAAAAGAAGAGTGCAAAGATAAAAGAAAGAAGGCATTTTTATCTGTATAGGGGAATAAGGGATGTAGAAAAAGATGAAAACTAATGTTGGTCAGCGCCTCTGCCTCAGTGAGTAGGGCATCAGTCCCATATACTGAGGGTAGTGGGTTCGAACCCAGCCCTGGCCAAAGTGCAACAAAAAAATAGCCAGGTGTTGTAGTCCCAGCTACTCAGGAGGCTAAGGCAAGAAGAATCACATAAGCCCAAGCCAAACTGCAACAAAAAATAGCCCTGGACAAACTGCAACAAAAAATAGCTGGGTGCCTGTAGTCCCAGCTACTCAGGAGGCTGAGGCAAGAAGAATCACATAAGCCCAAGAGCTGGAGGTTGCTATGAGCTGTGCTGCAACAGCACTCTACCGAGAGTGACAAAGTGAGACTCTGTCTCTAAAAAAAAGAAAGAAAGAAAGAAAGACAGAAATGAGAACTAATATCAATGACAGAAGTTGTCTCTTCCAAGAATTGTTTAAATTGATTGAATCATTATAGATTTAGCATTGGTCAGTTAAGGATGGTTAAAAATACATTTCTTCTATTCTATGTCTACTCTATCACCATACCCTGTACTGTTATCATTATGCTACAATCCTATTACTAGATTTCTAATTGAAGCCAATATTATCTCATACCTGTATTACTGCAATCATTTTTAACCAGTCTCTTGCCTTTAATCGTACTCTCAATTCTGTAATAGGATGATATTTTGAAAAAATAAAAACAAGATCATGCCATTTTTCTGTTTAAAACTCTTTAATAATCTTGCATATCTATTGGTGCAAAGTCCAAATGCCTTGGCAAGGTTTACAGAATATCTGCTTATCTTTCCAATTTCAACTCAGCATTTCTCTTCTCTTGACTTATGTCTCAGCCATATTGATCTTATTTTAGTTCCTCTAAGACACTTTTCTCATGTTGGATTTGCACAACCATGTTTTTAGTTTGCCTTAAAAATTTTATCCCATGCCCAATTTTCATTTGAATTGCTTCTCACTTATCATGTATCAACGTAGAATATGCTTTCTCCAGAAAAGTCTGTCCTGTACTTCCAAATTCTTGTTAGACAACCCTCATCTATGCTCTTATAGTAGCATGAACTTTCCCAGTCATACATTGATTATGCTCTATTTAAAATGTGTGATCATTTTTCTATTTCTTTTTTTTATGGCAGGAATTATGTCTTCCTGTTTCCCATCTAATCCTAACACTTATCATTCCTAGAACAAAATATAGTCTCAATAAGTACTTGATGAACTAATTCATAAATAGATACAAATGCTGAAATAAAGTTATACAACTAAACTGCAGTCTAGTTTCTTCAACTTTTTGTGTTGTCAGAAACTGGACATACTTTACTTTATTCATTACTATTGAGCATTTATTTTCTACTCCTTCTAGGTAAATCTTCTGCCGAGTATCTCCAAATAAAAGGTACAATTTACCCAGCCTGAAATGTCCAACCTCCCCCAAACAACTATTCGAATATGCCGGGTTCAGTTTCAAGATCAAACTCCCAGTCTTATATTTTCTAAGAGTGTTTTCTGGCAGAACTAAGACCTATAGTCCCTATTTCCAATTTTCTTAAAAATCTTTTCCTTACTTTCAAGAGTACTCTTAACTATCGTTAGTTGTTTTAAATATTGGCTTCACAGAGAGATCATAATTTATTTGAGACAGGGACTATATCTTAAATATGCTTTTTATATCCAGCACATCTCTAGCAGATTGCGATTAATGACTGAATAGTAATAACATCGCATATCACAAAAAAATGCAACTAAGAAAAGAAAGAGGCACACAGGAGGAGAAAATATAATTTAAATTTTTCAACAAATACACAAGATAAATATTTTGTCTCAAACCTGAAAATCTGCAAAGTCGCATGGTGGCGCTGCAGGATAAGATGGAGAAATCTTTTGTACGAGTATATATGCTCTGGTTTCCCTTAACCAGTGAAACTGAGAGCGCAGGAAAAACAGGAGAAAAGAGGCTCTCAGTCGAAAAGTGGGGCACCAACAACCTCCGTGTGACAAGACTACAAGTTTATAGATTCCCAAAGGTCCAAGCTGATAGATAAGAGGAGCAGCCCCCAGAGCTGCTAGAGATTGAATTGAAAACGTTTCCGCAGTAAGACGTTTGGCTAAGGAGTCATGGAGCCGGGAGAGAGAAGAGCTCTACAGATAAGGCAAGTGCTGCTTTTCTTTGTTTTCCTGGGAGGGTCTTTGGTGTGTTCTGAGACTTGGAGATATTCTGTGACCGAGGAAATGGAGATTGGCACCTTTATAGCCAACGTGGTTAAAGATATGAGTTCAAATATAGAAAACCTGGCTGCACGGGGGGGCAGAGTTATCTTTGACGACTATAAACCTTATTTGCGGTTGGATCCTCAAACTGGCAACTTGTTCTTAAATGAGCGACTGGACCGGGAGGCACTCTGCGATCTCACCGAGCCATGCATATTGCATTTCCAGGTGTTATTTGAAAATCCTTTGCAATTTTTTCGGACTGAGCTTTTGGTCAAAGACATAAATGATCATGCTCCCATGTTCCTAGACAAACATATACTTCTAAAAATCTCAGAAGGTGCTTCTCCAGGAACTTCATTCCAAATGGATAGTGCTCAGGACTTGGATGTGGGAAAGAATGGTGTCCAAAACTATACAATAACCCCAAACCCCCACTTCCACCTTAAATTACAAGACAGTGATGAAGGCAGAAAATACCCAGAGCTGGTACTGGACCAATCTCTGGATCGAGAGAAGGAGCCTGAGTTTTGTTTAACTCTATCAGCATTTGATGGCGGGTCACCGCCCAGATCAGGGACTACACTGATTTGCGTAGTGGTCCTGGATATCAACGATAACGCACCCAAATTTGAGAAGCTGGTCTACGAGGTTCAGATACCAGAGAACAGCCCTGTGGACTCCTTGGTCATCAAAGTATCCGCCACAGATTTAGATGCAGGAATAAATGGAGAGCTAACTTACTCGTTTTCGCATGTATCCAGAGACATACGGAAAACATTTGAAATCCATCCAACTTCTGGCGAAGTCCATTTAAAAGCACTTCTAGATTTTGAGCTAATTCCATCTTACACCATAAATATTCAGGCCATTGACGGTGGGAGCCTTTCTGGAAAATCAACCATTTTAGTGCGGGTCGTAGATGTGAATGACAACCCACCAGAAATAGCCATGACATCTCTTACCAGTCCCATACCTGAAAACTCATCGCCTGAGGTGGTGGTCGCTGTTTTCAGTGTACGAGACCAAGACTCTGGAGAAAATGGGAGAATGGTTTGCTCAATTCAGGACAACCTCCCTTTTCTGTTAAAGCCCACCTTCAAGAATTTCTACACCTTAATAACAGAGCGTCCACTGGATAGAGAAATGAGAAGTGAATATAATATCACCATCACTGTCACTGATTTGGGGACACCTAATCTGAAAACTGAGCAAAACATAACAGTGCTGGTCTCCGATGTCAATGATAACACACCCACTTTCACGGAAACCTCTTACACCCTGTTCGTCCGCGAAAACAACAGCCCCGCCCTGCACATTGGCACCATCAGCGCCACAGACAGAGACTCAGGCACCAACGCCCAGGTCACCTACTCCCTGCTGCCACCTCAGGACCCACACCTGCCCCTCGGCTCCCTGGTCTCCATCAACGCCGACAACGGACACCTGTTCGCCCTGAGGGCGCTGGACTACGAGGCCCTGCAGGCCTTCGAGTTCCGCGTGGGCGCCACAGACCGAGGCTCCCCCGCGCTGAGCAGCGAGGCGCTGGTGCGCGTGGTGGTGGTGGACGCCAACGACAACTCGCCCTTCGTGCTGTACCCGCTGCAGAACGGCTCTGCGCCCTGCACCGAGCTGGTGCCCAGGGCGGCCGAGGCGGGCTACCTGGTGACCAAGGTGGTGGCGGTGGACGGCGACTCGGGCCAGAACGCCTGGCTGTCGTTCCAGCTGCTCAAGGCCACGGAGCCCGGGCTGTTCAGCGTGTGGGCGCACAATGGCGAGGTGCGCACCGCCAGGCTGCTGAGCGAGCGCGACGCGGCCAAGCACAGGCTGCTGGTGCTGGTCAAGGACAATGGCGAGCCTCCGCAGTCCGCCAGCGTCACGCTGCACGTGCTGCTGGTGGACGGCTTCTCCCAGCCCTACCTGCCGCTCCCGGAGGCGGCGGCGGAGCAGGCCCAGGCCGACTCGCTCACCGTCTACTTGGTCATCGCCTTGGCCTCGGTGTCGTCGCTCTTCCTGTTCTCGGTGGTGCTGTTTGTGGCGGTGAGGCTGTGCAGGAGGCACAGGGCGGTGTCTGCGGGTCTCTGCTCAGTGCCTGGGGTCCATTTTCCCAGCCACTTGGTGGACATTAGCGGCACTGAGACTCTGTCTCAGAGTTACCAATATGAAGTCTGTCTGACTGGAGGCTCTGGGGCCAGTGAGTTCAAGTTCCTGAAGCCAGTTACCCTCAACCTCCCGCCCCAGGGTAATGAGGTGGAGAAAGCCCCCCCTTTGTGAATGGCTTTGAGTTCAATTAAGGATCTAATTGTGATGTAGAACATTAGAGTAAGTCTAAATTTCATTGTCATGTATAGTTCTTCATTCTGGCTAGCTTCATGTAGCTCAAGAGTTGTCAGAAAGTTCAGAAATTTAAGTCTACTTCTGTTGCTTTATATTAACTGTGAAAATATTAAGGGCGCAGGTATTTGCTTAGCCTTTGTTCCAAAATACAACCTCAAAAGATGTATTCACAAATACATTAATCATTTTTTCTTCAAATTTAATTGCACACTGGGTTCCTTTGTGTTTTCTTGTGGGGAGTTGAGGGACAAAGTCTCACTTTGTTGCCTTCCATAGAGTGCCATTGTATCACAGCTCACAGAAACCTGCAACTCTTGAGCTTAAGCAATTCTCTTACTTCAGCCTCCCAAGCAACTGGAACTACAGGCACCCACCACAATGCGCAGCTATTTTTAGAGATGAGGTCTTGCTCTGGCTCAGGCTGGTCTCAAACCTGTGAGCTAAGGCAATCTGTCGGCCCCCCCCCCCCAGGGTACTAGGATAACAGGCACAAGCCACCACGCCCCTCCCTTCATATTTTCCTAATGTTTTGATGGCGGGTCCTCTCACCAAAATAGGTTTTATATGGTTGATAGTATTACTATGGAAGAAAATGCATGATGTGAATAAAAACTGAATTACTTATCTGGTTAGAAAGGTTTTTAAAATGTTATCTAATTTAGTTTTTTTAATTTAAAAAGCATAATCTTTCCATTCTACTTTTCTGCCAAATATTGCAGAAGATTTTTTCTGCCCTAAGTTATTTTTCATAAATATTTGTGAACTGTACGTATTGCTGGTAGATGTTGTTTTATTAAAATAAATTCAAAATCTTTGCATTTGAGATACACACACTCATCCAACTCCTGTTCATTTCTTGTCTGAGGACTTCCTTGTATGACCTAAGGGAGCTGATCATTAGTGAGATATTTATTCCACTTTCTTTGCCTTTCTTAGGCATGTCTGATTAAAGCTGGAATAGCCACATTCTCCACCCACCTGAATTTGCAATGAAAATAATAGTTCATCTATTCTTTTCCTCTTGAGTAAATGGGCTGCGGTAGCCATGTGTGTAGGCTGGAAGCAGAGAATGGCTTCTAGACAAGGAGGACTGAGAGGACTAGAAGGAAAGAGTATTAAGTGAGAAGGAATAGAGAGTGCAGGAGGCAGAAATGTAGAAAACAATAGAGACTAAGATAGCTACTTGGTTCTAGACCTGTCAATTCCTGGTTCCAGTTCTTCCTAAGTACCCAATGTCTATTTGCCCTGGGGTTCTACAGTAAGACTATAGTTTCCTAATAGTAAAATTCCTTTCTTTAGTCAGTATTGTAGTTGAGTTTCTTGAAACCAAAAGAGACTTGAAAGATATGTGCAATCTTGAGTGCTCAATTAGCCTATATACCATGAAACCCTGGTCTTATGTTGTCTGTTTCCAATATTAATTTAATGAAATACAAAATGTATAAGCTTAGAGATAGCTAATCTATGTAAGAGGCTTATGGTGTCTATACCTTGTCTCAGGATCATCATACCCTCCTTAGCAAACTCTTCCTTTTAAAAATTATTTGCTGCTTTACATGTGAACAGGTTAATTTATCATTAATGTAAAACCATCTGGCTCTATAAATAATCTAATTTGGATCACATGGCTTGATTTATCATTTTAGTTTTAGTAATAGATACTATTTGATTGACATATACTCTATTACTAGAAAGCCTCATGAAAAAAAATTTGTTTCTGCCATGCCTAGGAGCTTAGATCTTAGGATATAATTTGAGAGATAAAAGATGGGAATAAAAACTATGATTTATTAACTGTCTGACATAGGTACCAGCTTCAATCCTATTAGTATGCAAAAATGCATAGACATTCAAGACACATTTTCTTGGACACTTAATTCCATAATAAAGAATTTGGATCCATGATCAAGATCTTTCTATAAGGAAAATTGTCCATCAGATTTTAACAGCAAGGTCTCATATACTGACTGTTTATTTAATCAAATTCATTTCCCTGTGGGGAGGAAATAAATGTATTCTAACATAGAATGTTGATTAGAATAATTGGTACCTTAATAGAATTAAACCAATATGAAATACAATTATTGAACTTAGCTCAAGCTGTTTTCCCAGTTAGCTAGGTAATTGAAATACCAAAATTTATTGGTATAATAGTGGTATATATAAATAATATATAAATACCAAAATACTACTATTATACATATAATAGTGTCTGTCATTTAAACATTGGCTAAAGTTGGTGCATTTGGGAAGACCCTGGGTCTCTTCCTCCAAGATGCATTCCCCCCTCTTTAAAAGAGAATTTCAGTTCCATACTAGGATGCCAGGATCCCAAGATACCTACAGGAGATACATGAGTTGATTACTAAAATGAGTTGAGATCTTTCCTAGTTGAGAATTAATCTGCTGTTCCAGGTGGATCTAATTTATTTTCATCTGTATTTTATTTTATTTTATGTTTTGAGACAGAGTCTCACTTTGTCACTCTGGTTTTGAGTGCAATGGCATCATTATAGCTCACAGCAACTTCAAACTCTTGGGCTCAGGGATCCTCATGACTCAGCTTCTCTAGTAGCTGGAACTACAGGAGCCCACACACAACACCGGGCTAGTTTTTCTATTAGTAGAGACTGGGGTGTCACTCTTGCTCAGGCTGGTCTAGAACTCCTGAGATCACATAATCCACCCACCTCTACCTCCCCGAGTGTTAGGATAGCCACCTTCTCTGGCCTGTATTTTATTTTTATTTTAATTTCAGCCTTTATCTTTAGCTGCCTCCCCTTCAAGATGTAATGTACAGCTTCTATGTGTGTGTATCTTAGTTTTAGCAAAAAATGCATATGCTCTTTACAAATTGTTTTAGACAATGTAATAGATCAATACAACAAACTTACAGAAGTACAGAGACAGTCCTTAGACAATATTTACAAATAATTTATCTACAACTCCTTAAGCTTATCTAGTTTTTATCATAAACCATTTCTAGCTGATATCACTTAAGTTTATACTTCTGAAACATGAATAATCTCTTTATCTACTGTGCTAGCAGCAGTTAAGAGTTTAAAGGTTTTAAGTGATAACTACATACATTTTTATCCTCAATTTTCCTGAAGTACTCACTATACAACATAGTCGACATCATGTTGTAAGGTCCCTGAAGTCAGAGTAGCTATTTTTATTCCCACCACTTAGTGCCGTGCCTCATGTATAATATGAAATCAGTATTTATTGAATATAGTTAACTTTAAATTCGCATAATTTCCCAAAATATCTGGCATCACTTCCACATTCCTAATCTCACAGGAAAACAGAAGTTACCATTTTAATTTATAAATCACACTATATATAATCTGTGATTTTTTTTTTTTTTTGCATAAATCTAAGAAAGTAGAATCAGTATTTTGTAAACTATTTAGCAAACTAAGTTTTAAGTACCAACGCGTGGTGGCGCTGCAAGCTAAGGCTGCTGAAAAACAGACTTGCGGATGGTTACTGCTCTGGTTGCTATTCTGGCAGTAATGATCAGATCCATCAAAGAGCAGAGACTTGGTTAACAGAAAATCGCGTTGTAACAAGAACTGATTTCCAGAGAAGAATTCCTACGGACTCAACAGAGGCATCCGGATCTTAACGGGTTTTGGTGTCAGAGAAATGGAGGCTGAAAAGGAGCGCTTTCCTAGACTAAGGCAAGTTCTGCTTCTCTTTGTTATGCTGTCTCAGACTTGGGCGGAGCAGAAAGCTTATACTGTAGCGGAAGAAATGGAGAGCGGTTCTTTTGTGGCCAATCTAGCAAAGGACCTAGGGCTAGGAATAAGAGAGTTGTCCTGGCGGAAGGCTCAGGTAATTTTTAACAATAATAAAAAACATTTTCAGCTGAACCTTCAAACTGGCGATCTGCAAGTCAATGAAAGACTCGATCGGGAAGAACTATGTGGCTCCACTGAGCCTTGTGTGCTGCATTTCCAGGTGTTACTGAAAGAACCTTTGGAGGTGTATAGGTTTAAACTTTTCGTCAGTGACATAAATGACAATTCCCCTGTGTTCCCAGAGGCAGAAATGATTTTGAAAATCATGGAAAATACTCCTCCAGGAACTGTGTTTCCCTTGAAAAATGCACAAGACTTAGATGTAGGCGTTAATAACATTCAAAACTACACGATCTACCCCAGCTCCCATTTCCATGTTCTCACCCGCAATGATGGTGAAGGCAGAAAATACCCTGAACTAGTTCTGGACAAAGCCCTCGATAGAGAAGAGCAGTCTGAGCTCAGGTTAACTCTCACAGCAGTGGACGGTGGAGCTCCTCCCAAAAGTGGGACCGCCCTGGTCCTCATTGATATCTTGGATATCAATGACAATGCCCCTGAGTTTGCCCAGCCACTCTATCAAGTTCAGATATCAGAAAATAGTCCGCTGGAATCCGTTGTTGCCACTGTTTCCGCTAGAGATTTAGACATGGGAATAAATGGCAAAATATTTTACTCGTTTTTTTATAATGATGAAGAGATCTCCAAGACATTTGCACTTAATGAACTAACAGGAGAAATTAAACTAATTAGGAAATTAGATTTTGAAAAAATTGTGTCATATAAGGTGGATATTAAAGCCTCTGATGGGAAAGGTCTTTCAGGAAAATGCACTGTCCTGATACAGGTGGTGGATATCAACGATAACGCCCCAGAACTGACCATAGTATCGGTCCTAAACCCCATCCCTGAAAATTCCCCTGAGACCACGGTAGCTCTTTTTAGTATTCAAGATCCAGACTCTGGGGAAAATGGAAGGATGATTTGCTCAATTCAGCATGATGTTCCCTTCATGCTGGAACCTTCAGTTGAGAATTTCTACAGGCTGGTAACAGAGGGAGCGCTAGACAGAGAACTTAGAGCTGAGTATAATATCACCATCACAGTCACTGACTTAGGAACACCTAGGCTGAAAACTGAACAAAACATAACAGTGCTGGTCTCCGATGTCAATGACAACGCCCCCGCCTTCACCCAAACCTCCTACACCCTGTTCGTCCGCGAAAACAACAGCCCCGCCCTGCACATAGGCACCATCAGCGCC